CATCTCTCTTGGTCTCCCTTTGCATCCTGAACCATCTCCAGTTGTCCTGACCTATGTCTCGCCACAGGACTCCAATGATTCTGAAGGAGAGAATGGGGCTGATGACTTTGCATGGCTCTGCCTCACCTAAACCCAACTCATTTACAAGTCAATACATCACCTTCCTGTTGTCATTGGTCCTCTTGCAGAACAAAGGACTGACAACAATCTGTGAGCAGTGGTAGCTGGCCCCCTGGGGGACTCAACAGGCCAGTCCCAGTTGAGCAGTGCTACTATTTCTTCCTCCTCCTCCTTCTCCTCCTCTTCCTCTGCCCACACGGGGAGTCATACCCTTACATATGTGTGCTCTGTCCAAAGGAATATACATTTTGTTCGCTTATGCTTCACAAAGTATCTTGGGGTTTAGGATAAATTGGATTTTTTTTCTTTGCTACTTATTTATTCTATCATTTTTTTTAAAAACTGGGACAATTAACTCTTCTGTCTCATGTAATTTTAATTTATGATTTCTTGAAATACACCTCTGGAAAACCAGGCTTTGATAAAGCCCATTGGGATTCAATGGGAGCTACCTAACTATGCCTTTAAACCCAAATCACTCCAGCTCTCACTGACTGGCCAATAATAGGTCCCAGTCCAAGCCTCACTAGGTCATTGGTTTTGTTTGTTTGCTTATTTGTTTGTTTGTTTGTTTGTTTGTTTTTGATGGCTCAGAGTGAGTAAATAGCAATGGTTTCTGTTCTGGCCAGAAGCAGAGGGTCTTCCTCTCCTTGACTGATTCTTTTGTGAAGGCAAACTTGGCCATCTTTTGCTTCAGTTCTTACCTAATCACTTGAATGGGGGTTGCCTCAGACAACCTGAGACCTAGGAAAGACCCTCACTTAAAAAGGCCAAGGTCTCCCATTGCATCTGGGACCATCACCAGTCATCCTAACCTATGTCTTGTCACTGGACTCTGATGACTCTGGAGGAGAGTGAGGCTGATGACTTTGCACAGCCGTGCCTCACTTAAATCCAACTAACTTGCGAGTCAAGACGTCACCCTCTTGATGTCATTGTTGCTCTTCCAGAACGAAGGACAAACAACACCTCCCCCCTTTTTTTCTCCTGTCTCCCTTCCTGATAGACTTTGTCCAGATACCTGAGGTGAGGCCCACTGCCATTCTGCACCCATGCCTGCTCTCTGCAAAGGCTCTGGACTTTTGCCACATTCCATTTCCTCTGACCTTGAAGGTTGACTGCCTTACCAAGAGGCCCTGATAAATTACATCATAGGACACGGCTAATGATTTAACAAATTATCCATCTCAGGGGCAATCAGACTTTAAAAAGTGGAGCCTAGAGAGAACAATGCTTAACTCAAAAGGGTAACTAATTATACGATGGGCACACCTTGTGGCAGCATAGTAAGGAAAATATTTTAGAATATATAAGGGACCTTTTGGCTTCCCCTCAAATCATACCACATAGGCAACCACTTATTTATGCATACTCTTTGTTGTAGATACAATAACTGTAGCAAGACATTTCAAAAACTTAATTTCTACCAAATGTTAAATCCCTTCTTTTCCAATATTTTTATTAGAGCTGAAAAGGCAGTAATATTGACTGGTTTATATTTTGCTCCTTATTTGGCATCATAGAATTTTGGTGATAGGAGTTAGGAAGACCTGAGTTCAAATCCAGCCTTAGATATTTACTAACTGTGACCTTGAGCAAGTCACTTAACTTCTGTTTGCCTCAGTTCCCTCCTTTGTAAATTGAGGATAATGAGAGAACCTACCTCACAGGGCTGTGGGTAAGATCAAGCAAAATAACATGGGAAGTATTTTTGCAAACCTTAATGTGCCAGCAATAATGATGATGATGGTGGTGGTGGTGGTGGTGGTGACAATGATGGTGGTGATGGTGATGATGATGAAGATGATGGTGAGGAGGAGGAGGATTTCCAAATCCCTTAGTTTTTGTAGGTGAGAACATAGAGAAGTTAAGTTACTTACCTAAGGTCTCACAGGAAAGAGAACTGGGACTAGAACTCGGGTTTCCTGACTTCTAGTCTCATCCCCTTTCCATGATGTGATGTTGTGTCTGATCCCCACTTTTATAAATGGGTATTAAGAAAGACAAAGAGGAAAATCACAAGACCTGGGCCTCAGTTTCCTCATAGGTGAACTCTAAGACCCCTTCCTGTTCTAAAATTTTCTGATTCTGTGATAACACATGATAAGTTAGGTCCTTAGCCCGTGAATAACTAAAGGTTGTTAATATCCCTAGATGGTTCAATAGTCCCTTACATTTGCAAGAAACCCAACAGGGCAAATATATCCTCATCTGTCCCCACAGAGTTTAATGGTACTTGTCAATTCTCATCCCTACACTGTGGAGTTTTGGTGTTCCCATTGTAGGATGGAAAAACTTAGGCCCAGAGCAAAGCATTAAATAACTTGTTCAGGTTTACACAGTTGGGTGAAAGCTGCAATAACATCAGAACTCATAAGATATTTATGTTGCTTAGTTCCCTGAGAGCTAGTCTACATCTTCATTCAATAAATATATACTGAACATCTACTATATGTATCATACTATTCTGAATGCTGGACATGGAATGGTATAATGAAAAGAGCACTGGTTCTGGAGTCAGAGCACCTGAGTTCAAAACCCAACTCTGCTGCTAATGACCCTGGACAAGTCATTTAACCCTTCTGAGCCTCAATATCCTCATCTATAAAATGAGGAGATTGGGCTACGTAGTTTATGAGATCCCTTCCCAGTCTGTGCTCTTAGTGCCAGAAAATATAGGAGATAAAATTAATATTATTATGTCTACCTTCCCCTTTTGTCCCTAGCTCTAAGTATAGAGTAAGGGTAGAGGAGTTTAAATAATAAAATGTCTTAAACAGAGTGCTGATTAAATACTGAATGGGGCTACAGTAGGAGGTTAAGAAACCTAAAGATGTGAGGAAAGTTCTGAATCAGTTCAGGCTTGGAGGCAGAGGGCTGGACCAAAGGGCTTCCTCAGTTACTTTTCAGTTTTACACTGCTATCTACCATTCTGTTGTGTATCCATTGAGGGTGGAGGGAGGTTGCTGGAGATAGCTCCAACCAGATATGCAGAGCCAATTGTCAAATTTTCAGTGTGAACATTTACACCTCAGAAATACACAAATGTTACAAATCAAGGCTTGATTTGTTTTTATTGATTGTCTAGACTAATTAAAGTGATGGAGAAAATGTCAATTAATCAGATTTAGAAGTGTGACCCTCCCTACCCTTTGTAAAACATTTACCTGCACATGCCTTATTGTTGAGCTTGGTGGAGACCACACCTACTACCACCTCACTAATCTGCAGAGGTCATCAGAAAGGGAACTAAATCCTCCATTCCGCACCCCCCCCTTCCCCCATTCTCCAACCTCTCTCTAGTGCAACCAAGAGGAATATCTTACTCTGGGGCTTTCCTTTGGACTGCATTGAGTGTTCAAGTATTACCTGCTCCTCCAGCGGCTAAGAGTCCTTGATTTAATACATTAGATGTGGAGCTGAGAAACTGGTTTTAAATCATCACACATCTATAAGTCCATTCCTCACTTTCTATTGACTTACATTGTATTTTCTGAGGTGAGCTATCTTCCTTCCTAGCCAACTCTTCAGCCAGCAAGGACTCCTAAGAACTGAACTCTACCTTCCCCTACTATCCTTCCATGATTCTTACCCAAGTTCTCTGTCAAATAGTTCAATATATACAAATTGAGGAGGATGTAGAGTACAAGAATACAAAGGACCTTGGATTATTGCACTGGATAGTCCAATGCTTTCATTTCACCAATGAAGAAACTCAGAGAAAGAAGTGATTTGCCTAAGATCATATAGTTATTAATGGGGCACAGTGAATAGAGTGCTGGGCCTGGACTCAGGAAGACTCACCTTCCTGAGTTCAAATCTAACCTCAGACACTTACTAGCTGTGTTACCCTGGACAAGTCACTTAAACCTTTTTGTCTCAGTTTCCTCCTCTATGAAATAAGCTGAAGAAGAAAATGCCAAACCACTCCAGTGTCTTCACCAAGGAAACCCCAAATAGGGACACAAAGAGTCAGATATGACTGAAAGGACTGAACAATAAAAACACTATTATTAAGTCCTTTAAGACTCATCACAAGTGTCATTTCCTGCAGGAGGCTTTTTCCCTATTCCTCCAGCTTCTAATGCCTTCCCCTCTGAGTGTTCCAGCTTATTCTGTATGTATCTTGCATGTACCATGTATGTACATGTTGCCTCCCCCATTAAAATATAAACTTCTTAGAGGCAGGGACTGTTAGCCATTAGCAGAGTGCTTGGCACACAATTAGCTCTTGCTTGTTTAGTTGATTAAAAGAGCTAAGATTTTAACCTGAGTCCTTTGACTCAAATCTATAAGAATCTTTTTTTAAAAAATAAATAATAAGTGTCTCTTAATTTATTTGACTCTAATGTCAGAGTTATGTATATGGGATTCCTTTAAACCAGGGTCCACCTGTAAGTCGTCAAATTGTAATTACTTCTATGCTCTAGCCGTCAGATTTAGAACTCAAAAGGACCTTAGAAATAATGTAGTTCAATCCAATCATTTTATAGATGTGGAAACTGAAGTCTGGAGAAGTGAAATAATTTGCTCGCTTTCCCATAGGTAATCGTTTGTAGAGCCCAAGATTAAAATCGAGGCCATCCCAACCCCAAACCCAGTGCTCTTCACATCACCTCATTCTGTTTTCCATCAATAATGCATTTATTAAGCTTAATTAATTAATAATGTTTATTATCATCCAGCTATCTTCCAGGCAGTGTGCTGGGTGTTGGGGATACAAAGAAAGGCAAAAACACAACAGTCCCTGCCCTCAAGGAGCTTACATACTAATGGACGGTGGCAACATGTAAATAATAGAGACAATAAGATACGTACAGAATAATAGGAAGGAAACCTCAAAATGAAAGGCTCATATGAATGAAAGGACCAGAAAAGGCCCCTGCAGCAGGTGGCATTTGATCTGAGTCTTGAAGGAAGCCAAGTCAAAGGCATTGTCTGGAGATGCTGCATGTGTAGGTAGATGCTGTCTGCCATGACTACATGGCAGTGCCCCTGATGAGAGGTAGGTCCATATCTTCTATTCTATGGGACATCTCCTTTCTATCTGTAAGAGGTACTTAATAGCTATCACAGACTGAGGGAAAAACGAGGACACACTTAAGGGTGGATGTGGGCAAGATTTGCACTCTGTTTAATGCCAGTGGATGGCCCCATATCTCACTTCGGGCTCTGAACTCCACTGAGTCCTTCAAGAGACTAAGATGCTGACTTACTCTTTGACAACAGTTCTTTTGCTTTGATGTGGGCATGTATCCAGTGAAGATACTGACTGACTTTGGTGTAGATGCCAAAGTTGTCTGGTCGCCCACAGCCCTCTCCCCAGCTCACCAGGCCCACTAGGAACCATGTACCTCGGAATTCGGTAACCATGGGCCCCCCACTGTCCCCCTCACAAGCATCTCGGGTGTCACCAAGCATTCCTGCACAGAGCATGTTCTCTGAGATGCTGTTCTGCATGGTTTGAGAGCATTTAGTGTAAGAGGCTAGGGGGATTTTGATGAACCTGAGGGTATAGGTGCGGTTCCTGGACTCTTCAAACTGACGTCCCCAGCCTGTTACCACTGTTTCTGTCCCCTCCTTCATGAGCTCTCGATGGGCCAGTCCCAAGTTGGGAAGGCAGATGGGCAGGATGTATTTGGAGAAGACAACGGACTTGTCCAGATACAGCAGTGCGATGTCATTGTCTGAGGTACTTTTGGTATAGTTTGGGTGCACAATAGCTTTCTGTATGTTAAAATCCATCTCTGAATTCTCATACCGCCGGATGTCGTATTCACCTGGCATGAGGCAGGGAGGTAAGGAGACAGAGAGAAAGAGAGAGAGAGAATAAAAAGCACAAATGGACTCACGAACTGTTCTTCCACTCCTCTCCTTCCCCCAGGCTTTCAGAAGAAAGCAGAGGAAATGACTACTCCCACAGAGAGAAATAAACAAGCAAGCACTCATACAAAAAAGAGACCAGGATTAGGGTCTCTAGTCTAAATTAGTGCAAAGAGCCCTGGATTTGTAGTCTGAAGGCCAGGGTTTAAATCCAGACTCTGCTACTTACTAGTTGTATAACCTTGAGCAATTCAATTATGCTCTGTGGATCAAAGTTTTCTCTTCTGAGAAAAAAGAAGCTAGGTCTAGAAGGTGTGAAACTCAAATAGAAACAGATCCCTGGGGCCTCATTTTGTCTTAGAAAACCACAAATTGACATTATCTATGTTGTACTGTATTTTTATTTTGTTAAACATTTCCCAATTACAGGGGTTTTTTTTAATTTTTTTTAGGCAATTAGGGTTAAGTGACTTGCCCATGGTCACACAGCTAGTAAGCGTCAAGTGTTTGGTCTGAGGACGGACTTTAACTCAGTTCCTCCTGACTTCAATGCCGGTGCTCCACCTAGCTGCCACCCCAATTACAGTTTAATCTGGTTCTTGCACTAGGGAGTTGTGTGGATCGCATGCTGCCCACAAGCAGTAAGTTTAACACCTCTAAATGATCTCTTCTGCTCCTCCTACTTCTCAATCTTACAAATATCTAAGTGGAGTAGTGGATAGAGTGCTAGACCTGAAGTCAGTAAAATCTGCATTCAAATCCAGGCTCAGACACTGCCTAACTCTGTAATTTGGAAAATCATTTTGCCTCTTTCTGCCTCAGTTTCCTCATCTGTAAAATGGGGATGATAATAATAGCACCTACCTCCCAGGGTTGTTATAAAGGGGGAAAATGAGATCATATTTGTAAAGTGCTTTGGAAACCTCAGGTACCATATAAGTGTTAGCTATTATGAATTTCTCCATAAGCACACATACAGAGGGTCATCCTTATGTTCAAGTTGAGTAGGTGTTTGATTAATTCATTCAACAAGTATTTATGAAGCACCTATCATATATGCTAGGCACTGGGAGTAGGAAGACAGACACAGAACCTACCACCGATCTCCAGAAGCTTATATTGTGTTGGGCAGGGAAGAACATGTCCACACATGTGTAAATACAAAGTATTTGTATAAATATACGTGCATATATATATAATAAAGAATAAATACAAGTAAACAAAAAATCTAGTTGGAGGGGGAGAATGCTAACAATTAAGGGGAGGGTTGGAGATCAAGATGAGCTTTGTGTAGGAAGGAGCACCTGGGCAGAGCTTTGAAGGAATCCAGAGATTCCAAGAGACAGACCTGAGGAAGTACATTCCAGGCATAAGGCACAGCCTGTCCAAAGACAAAGAGATGGAACATGAAGTAGGAGGAACCCAACTGGACTGATTCAGGCTGTAGTGGGGAAGCCCCATCACCTAAATATTTACCAGTTGCTAGACCATCACAGTGCCTGAAAATTCATCATTATAGATCCATTTAGTTGAGTTAAGGAGGCATCTCCCAAACTATACTCTGCAGAATCCTGAGAATAAGGCTTCTCTGGGAGAATTTCTGTCCTAACAATATTTCCACCCATTATGTGGAGCAATTCATTCATATGAAAATATACTTAAACTTCCCCAAACCCCCTTTACCCAGGTGGTATCCCAGTCTGCTAGACCTGTGGGTCAGTTAGCAAATTGGAGCTTGAACAAATTAATGTGGGCTGCACCAAATCATCTTTCCGAGTATAGCCTCTTTTAAAATCTAAATATCCTTGGGAGGTTAACACAGCCAGAGGTCAATAATTAACGTCTTATTGTGAATTAGCTTATCAGACTTTTGAAATCAGTGGGCTGAGCAAATGGGAGTCTTGATGGGGAGGGAGCTAAGAAGACAAGTTTGGAACATGGGATGTTCACTATCTAGGCAGGGCAGACATAAGAGGCCCACCAGGCACCTGGAAGAAGCAATACTGAGAACAAGGTTCAGAAGAACAAATTGTGAGCAGCCATGATCTTCTACAGCAGTTTTTGTCTGTAGGGTTTATTTGGCATATATTTATATACTGTCTTGTATTGGTAATTTCTTTATGAAGGTATGCCCAGTCTCTCAAATTTAAACCATTATTCTCCTCAAGACCAGGGCCTGATTCTAATCTGATTATCTTTCTATTACCCAGAGAGCTCAGTAGGGTCTCACATGAATAATGAGGGTTCAGTAAATGTTCGGTTAACACATTTGGCATCCTGGAGGTGAAATATGCTTAATGCAGTTACTTCATCTCCCCCTCCTTTTCCCACAGAGCAAACTTTGGTTCAAGGAATTCAAAGGATGAGAGGAATGAATCACTCCCACAAGTGCTCACTTTCTGGGTCTGCTCTGTGCTATGATGGAAAGAGCAATGAATTTAGAGCCTGGAGACCTGGGTTCTGGGACAGCTAGGTGGCACAGTGGATAGAGCAACGGCCCTGAAGTCAGAAGGACCTGAGTTCAAATCTGGCCTCATACCAAACACTAACACTTACTAGCTGTGTGACCCTGGGCAAGTCACTTAACCCCAATTGCCTTAAAAAAAAAAAGAAAGAAAGAAAGAAAAGGAAAAAAGGAGACCTGGGTTCCAATCCCTGGCCTGCCAATTACTTCCTGGGAGACACTGGGTAAATCACTGAGCCTCTCTAAGCCTGCCAAATGAGGGAGTTGTTCTAGATCACCTGTTCTAGACCAGTCCCTGGCTGCAGCTCTAAATCAAATCATCCTTCCTTTCCCCATTTTGAGCTGCTCATCTCAGGTGAGTAATAACAATAATCCAGTGAAATTCTTTCAAAAGGCAAGAGGATAGACTAGCATTCTCCCTATAGATTATCTGAATTATAGTGGATTTGGACATTAGGGGATCATTATGTTTCACAGAATGACACTGAATCACAAATTAAAAACCTTAGAGCTCAAGTCCATTTCCCTGATTTTCTAGATGAGGGAGCTGAGGTCTAAAGAAATTAAACTGAATTCCAGTGTTTGCACACATGTGTTTGCATGGGTAGTTGCAAAGTCAGGGCTAGAACTCAGGTCTCTTGGCATCCACTCTGGTCAGCGTTCCTTCCATAAAAACACATCGCCTCTTATTATTTCACTCATAATGTTCCCATGTAGAAACTATGAAGTCTTTTTATAGTGGAGCTCTCCTATGCTGTCACTTTTTCAAGCAGTGTTCCCTCCCCCCCTTCTCTTATGGTGGAAAGAATGCTGGTTTGGGCAGCAGAGAACCTGGGTTCTGCCCAGCCCTGACACTATTTGTACAACCCCTTGGACCCTCAGTTTCTTAATCTGTAAAATGAGAGGGTTGGACTCAATGACCTCTCAAATCCTTTGTGATTCTAAATCCGTGACCCTATGTGCCACTTGCAGTATAGTGAAAAGGGCCCCAGATTTTGAATTAAAAAAAAAAACCCTGAATTTGAATCCTGGTTCTGCTACATATATGACCTTGGACAAGTCACTTCCTTCTCTAGGCCTTAGTTTCCCATCTATAAAATGAAGGAGGTAGACTAGATGATGTCTAAAGTCCCTTCCAGCTCTAACCCTATGACTCCATGACAGTATGTGATCCCTTCATCTTTCATGGGGTCCCTCACTGGGGGATTGTTCCTGCTGTCACCAACCTAACTCACATTTGTCCAGCTCTTCACACTTGAAAAAGATGTTCTGATCCTTATAATAGCCCTTTGAAGGAGGCAGGGCAATAATTATTTTTCCCCATTTTATTGAAGAGGAAACTGAGATACACAAAGACTTTAAGTAATCTGGGCCAAGGTACACAGAGAACGAGGGCCAAGGATTTAGTAATGAAATCATTTATCACCTTGGAGAGAGCAGTTGCAATCATGTTGGTGAGGATGAAATCCAGGGGGTTGAAATATGGCCAAGAAGTGAGAAAGAGAAAACAATGACTATAGATGGTTTTAACTGCAAAATAGAAGTCTAGTATCTGACAGAGCATTCTACCACCTCAATTATCAATATTTCAACATAAGGGATTATGTATAGGGCAGGTGTTATTACAATTGTCATTTTACATGGGGAACCTAGATTTTAGAAAGACTTAAGTTCCTCAGGTCACAAAACTAGTAAATGGCACTAGATTTTCTGGTTCCTTTTCCCTTACATCACAATGGTACTATGTGATGGTACAAAGTGGTTACATGAATAGTAAGTGCTGTAAAATTCAGACACCTCATACTCCCACATTCTTTTCATTACGTTACACTACCATTTCATACAGGAAAATACTGCTAGAGGACACTTGTTTAACTAGACAAGGTAACATCTGGAGACCATACAGTTAGCTAGGGCAAGTCAGGAGTACCACTGAGATGGCTTCATGCCCTGATCATTGCCTCTGGGAACTAGATGGGATAATGTGACTCAGATTCAGTCACCCTTCCTTGATGAACTGCTAGCCTTGGTCTGGATCCTAGTGAATCCTTTTCAAGGATAGACTACTTCTTCAAAGGCATTTGGGCATCTACACAGAAATAAGCTGTCCCTGGAAATTCAAACCACTACTGCTTCCTCTCCCCCAATCCCTATAAAAATAAAAATAGTTCAAATTCCCAAGGAAAGTCTTAGAAAAAATCACTGATTATCTCTTTAGCAGTTGTCTGACTTTGGAGACACAGGGTCACAGAAACACAGAAATTTATAAAAACTCATGGAGAATCCTAGAAGTAAGTGAAAAGGAACCTGGAATAATCCCCTAAATATCAGATATTCTGATGGAACATGATTGGATATTTCCCAATCTCTCCCATCCACCAAGCCTGCCTTCACCACCACAAGCAGAGAGGCCATGTGTGATTTCCTTACCAAGTCTTACTCTAAGGTATTTTGGATGTTCCACACAGTGGGCTGCAGTCAGTACCCAGGAAGAATGAATAAGGACACCCCCACACTTTAACTTTGACCTGGAGTCCAACAGTATCACCTGAAACAAAGAGTTGATAGGATTCAGAGATGGAAAGAATACTAGAGATAATTCACCCACTCATTTGGCAGATGAGAAAAAAATGAGGCCATTTTGTCTTTGAAGAATACATTCAGTTTTGTGGAGTACCTGCTTTGGTAGTGAAGTCCAGTTTACTTTAATTTTTAGTTTTTTATATTCTAGTATTCTTATTCCTCATTTTTGACACATAATGTCTTTCTTGGCTGTTTACAAAACAGTCTACTTGTCCTTATAATCTTGGAGCTTGGTGATGATGTGCTTAGGTGGGTTGAATTTGGGATTGACCCCTTTAAGCATCCGCTGAGTTTCCACGTTGTCTGTTCCTTTTAAGAAAAATTATTTCTGGGACATATTCTTTTTAGGGAGCATTAATAATTTAACACTTAAGTTGTCACTCTGAGTTTTGTTACACCCAACCCACCACCCACCCAGATCCACTATTTTTGTTTCCAAAACTTCCAAGCATTCTTCTAGAGGAGTAGTTTTGGAACTTGTCTACTCTCCTCTAGAAAAATTATTTCTGTTTCTCAGTGAATCCATTGTCTTACATGCACTTAATGGATATTTCAAAGTTGTCAGATTTCATAATTTTATCTTCATCTTTTTAAGAATATTATCCTTGATAATTTTGCTAATTTCACATTAATATATCTTGAGATAGCTCCACCTGCATTTCTAGGGGCTGTCATTGATACTAATTAATTACTCTACCAATGTAAGATTTATCAACCCCCTCTCTCTATACTTGACTCAGATTTCCAAATGCTTTCTAGACATCTCTACTTGGATGTCTCATCATCTCCATGAATTCAATATGTTTTAAACTAAGATCATCAAGTCACCAGGCAGAAGCTATTTTTCTGTGTAACTCTTATCTCTATATGTATCCCACCTGGGTACTTATTTTGTTCCTTAGAACCTCAATTAGACTGTAAGCTCCACAAGGGCATAGACCATGTTTTATTCATGTTGTCCCCACAGGGTATTATACAGCGTATTATTGTACTAGGTGGTATAATGGACTAGTGTAGTCCAGAGCCCTGGACCTGAAGACAGGAGTTCAAATCTATTCTTAGATACTTACTAGCTAAGTGATCTTTGGCAAATTATTTCACCTATCTGCCTTTCTCCTTGTCTGTAAAATGGCAGTGATAGAACTTACCTCCCAGGATTGTTGTGAGGATAAAATTAGATAATATTTTTTAAACTGAGATAATATTTGTAAAGTTCTTTGCAAACCTTAAAGTGCTATTAAATGCTAGAGGAGGAGGAGAAGGAGGAGGAGGAGGAGGAGTAGTAGTAGTAGTAGTAGTAGTAGTAGTAGTAGTAGTAGTAGTAGTAGTAGTAGTAGTAAAAACTTGAGAAATTTTTGAATGAATGACCAAATAAAAGATGGTTATAATCCTCAATGGAGACATGTTCTTTCTTACCTGCCACGGGCTGTCACCTTTGTTGGCTGGTTTCCCCCCTGAGATTCGAATTCGTAGTTCTTCGAAATTGGGTGTTGGGTATTTCACCTTTGGTTTCCCACATGGAAAATTGACTAGAAAATGAGAGGACAATGTCAATGATAAGTCAAATAGGCGACCTACTCTGTCACAAAGAGCCCTTTACAGAAACATTTGGCTAGGCTAAGGTCCTTCCATCTATCATAGTCACCTCCTTCCTACGGATTTATTGGTGATATTGCCCTAGTTGTGTGACCTCAGGTAAATTACATCCTCTACTTCCTCATTTGGATAAGGGGTCTCTAAAGTCCTTTCCAATCCTAATACTTTATGACTATGACTGTTTCTTTACAGAGATCAGTTAGTTAACCAACAGTAAGCACTCTAGTCAATAAAAAATAAAAGCTACTATATGCCCTGTTCTATCCTAGATACTGTGGGGGATATAGGATTAGTCATGGTCCTAGACTTTAAGGAATTTTCAATCACAAGACATAAATACATAAAAATTAGAGAACAATTAAGGCCTTGGATTGTTGTGGTCTGAGAAGGCTTTGTGGAAGAGGTAAGATTGGAGCCAAATTTTCAAGGGGAATGGGGAAGGATTTAGCTAAGAGGAGAAGCAGGAAGAGCTTCTGAGGATGGGGAGCAGCCCATACAGAGGCTCAAGAGCAAGAATGTGCCTTAAAGACAATTGTGCTTAAGTAGAAGGGATGCTCCTTCTGAGATGAGACACCAAAGAAAGCCTGAAGACAACAGAGAGAAGGTGGGCCATTCGATATTTCTATTCTATTTCTGTTTCCTTTGTCCTGGAAATAATAGGATGAAAATGGACCAACAGGAAGTTGATATCCAAGGTAAGTCAGGAGATAGTAAGAGAGCACATTATTGTCCTTGATGAATTCTAGTCACTTTGTCCAGGTGGAAGAACTGGCAGGTAGTGATTGCTGAGCTCCTGTCACTGATGTTTGAAAGGTCATGGAAAATGAGTGATGGGGAAGATAAATGTCCTAATTCTTTTTTTTAAAAAAAAGAAGAAAACATGGTCAGAAAATTGTAGGCAGTGAGTTTACATGTGATTCCCAGAAAATCCTAGTGTAATGGAAATTAAATGGCAGCAATCCCCACCCCTAAAAAAGAATGGACTGGCCTTCCTAGAGTCCAACTGATGGAGTACTGAGCTTGTGCCCTGGGCACTTCCAGGACATTATATGGCTCAGTGCTGAAAAGACTTGGTGCCTTGGTATGACGCAAAAAACCCTGCCTCTAGACTTCCCGCCACAGGGAGGTGAAGTGCTGTGTCATTTAAAAAGGAGAGAGAGCTTCCAACTCACTCTCTTCCTTTGACTTTCCTGGGTGGCGAGTTGCTCTCCCTGGGCTCTCTGTGAGAGGTGAGGGGCAGGGGAGGGGAGAGGTCACCCTTCTCCCTACCTCAGCAGAAATGGCAAACTGCAAACATTTGTCAACTAAAGTAGGGATGGAAGAGCTGAGCCTGGGCCTCTATACCTTTTTGTTTCTTTCCTGGGTATGAGTGATTAAGTAATGACCCAGAAATGGATACTTCCAGTCTTAGAGTCAACCTTGTGATTTCAAGAGATCAGAGTTCAGTAAGAGCTGACTGGCAATAAGAGGAGCTCCAGAATCAGAAGTATGACTAACAGCAAGATGAGCTCATCTCCTAAAAGGCTTACAAGAAGGCATAGACCTGGAGAGTATTGATTGGACAGTGCAAGACTGAGGTAAAATACAAAATGCCTATTTATCAATTCCTACTTCTTATTCTGATGTTTGTCCTAACTTCTCCAGAGAGTGTAATGATAATGATGTTATTACTAGTGTTTCAGCCAATAAGCATTTGTGGTGTTTGTATTTATTAAAAATGTCTTTTGTGTAGAAGGAATAAATAGCTGTCCTGTACCTGGCTTTGTACCTTGAGTGTTCTCCCTTTGGGGAGACCCCAAACATAAGCCAGATAAGTTTAAGTGATTCTACCTGAGATTTTGAGGGGAACATCATAAAGGGCCAGAGAGCAAAACAAAAGAACCTGACTCCTCTTTTTGGAGATTAGGCTCTATCAGGACTATGCACATATAGCCGTCCACAGTGAAGCCAGAGGGTGTGTGTCCTCTTCTTGTCTCCTTCTTCCAGTGGCAGCTGGTTTTTCTTGTTACACTAAAATGAATCATTAAAGATGATTCATAAAGAATATCTAGCAAAAGAAGTGGTATGAGAATTGATTGAAGGACTTACATATGTCTAACCTGGAGAAAAGAAGATTCAAAGAACATAGCAGCTGTATCCAAGTATTTAAAAAGAGGTCATTAGGGCAAAGAATTGGATTGTTCTGCTTGGCCCCAGAGGGCAGAAACAGAAGCAACGGTAGAAGCTATAAAGAAGCAAATTTAGCCTTGAAGTCAGGAAAACTTCCTCAGCTTAGAATAACCCAAAAGTGGCACTTAGGAAGGTAGCAGGCTCCCCATCTTTGGAAGTCTTCAAGTAGGAGGTAGGGGTTAGGTAGAGGAGCATTGAATGCCCTTCCAAGTATAAAATTCTGTAATTTTGCGATGCTGTTATTCTTAATCTTACCATTTATATTTCACAGGTGGTCCTCCCCAGAAGCAAAGATCTTAATTCATGATTTCATTAGGTCCTTTCTAGTTCTAGGAGGGTATGACTAATGATAGTAGCAGAAATACTCATAGTAGCAATAGTTATTATACCTCAGAGTCTTAGAACACTTTTTGTTTTGCACAATTTTCTCATTTGGTCTTCAAAATATCCATGTGAGGTACTCAGGGGAAAACATAATAATAGTTATTGTCTTTATTGTTGTTATTCCTCATCTGAAATTGAGGTAGTTGGACTAATTGATTTTGAAGGTCCCTTCCAGTTCTAATCTATGATCTTAAGATCCATAACACAGATAAAGGGGCATAGGTTATGCATTTTAAGGAGCAAAGGAACTCTGAGCTGATAGAGAGATACCCAGGGTATATTTCTCAGAACATCTAGATGATGGTGGGAAAGATTATATTGTGACAATGTTGAAAAAGAAAAGAGGGAAGGAGAAAGAAAGATGAGATAGGAAGAAAGGAGGAGAGAATTTTTCTTTAAGGAGTTGTGATGGGGATGGGGATAGGGATGAGAAAGCACAGACTAGGAGGGGGGAGAGAAGAAGGGGTGAGTCAACCTGTGGCTAAATAACTAGCTATTTGTTGAATGATTGAATGAACTATCTCATACCAGAATCAAACCCACAACCTTGGCCTCACTGATATCAGATCATAATGAAATTTATAGGAAGGAAGGAAGGAAGGAAGGGAACAAAGTGTTTATTAAGCACCTACTATGTGCCAGGCATTGTGCTAAGCACTTCACAAATGTTATCTCATCTGAGCCTCTATGATCAATTAGATTTGACAATTCCAAACTCTAACCTCGTGCAGGTAAGAGGAAGAGGATTCACAAAGCTCCTGTTGTGAAGTGGGGGACCCAAGGCACTTGGTACTCAACTCCTTGCCAAAATGTGTCCCCCCGCCACCTGTCTTTGATACCTGAGCTTCCACTATTAGAACTATTCCCCCCATCTTTTCACTTCTGGGGCCTTTTACAAGCGTGAGGATGCTCCTAGGGGGTGGGAACACATTAATCCAGGGATTCTTTGCCCCTTTAGCACCCTGGTAAAGCCTGTGGTCTCCCCAGAAAAATGTTTGTTTTACATTCATAATTGAAGGAAATGTTAAATTTCACTTAATGGTTAGTGCATTTTTCCTATCCAAGTATATGGACCCCTTTTAATCTATTTATGGGGAATGATAATCCCAGGTTAAGAATTCCTGCCTCAAGTCATTATGGGCTATCACCTTAGCATGGACTATTTGATAGCCAGTAGAGAGCAAGTTCCTGAAGGAATAGAATGTAAGAAAGGCACTCAAGGAAGATGTAGGCCAGAACAAAGGAGAAGAGAAGTAGGATAATGCCAAAGGCAAACACACTTCACTGACTTCTAATTTGCTTGAGTTGGCCCTCAGTGGAGTGACATATTTATATGGTGATGGAGCCAAAAATTATAGCTAGTTCTCCCCATGATTCACCTATCATGATCCAGTTCTGCCTTAGTCTTCTCTTTTCTTGTCTGAATAAAAGACCCTGGATATTCTCCCTCTGGTTTGCCTAATCCCATTTCTGGCTCCCTAACAGGGGAACTCACCAACTGTTTACTCACCAACAGGTTTACACTCTGTAGGGTTGTCGCTCTCTTGATATCCAGGGGCACAGCTGCAATAGCGTTGCTGATTCTCGAGGTCCTCAGTGCAGTAGTGAACACAGCCGCCGTTGTTTACGGAGCAGTTGGTGTAGTTTACCTCTGGGACAGGAACAAGAGCCAGACTTTAATCAGTCAGGCTCTGGAGGTTCCCAACACTCAGAAATGGGAGTGGTTATGAGGGAAGAAAAGAGAAAGCAGGTTTTTACCCCTAATCTCCAATCCTGATATATCCCTGAGGGGATGTATTAACAAACAGATGATGGCAACACTGATAAATACAATTTCACAAAACTGGAAAAATGCCTTTCCAATGCCGGCCCTCCCAGATGCTCAGGGAGAGCCTATGCCAAGAAAAGAATCTAATTCTCAGTTTAATTCAATGAGCATCATATAGCAGAATGAATCCTGATCCTAGAACCACAGGACCTGAGTTCAAATCCTACCTCAGATGCTTGCTTTCTGTGTGATTTTGGGGCAAGTTTCTTACCCTTCCTGGGCCTCAGTTTCCTAATCTGCAAAATGGGGGGTTGGAATAGATGACATGAGTTTCCTTCTAGCTCTAGGCAGAGTTCCTTCGCCTGGGATCCATTGACAGCTCCCCATGAACAGATTTCAAAGGGTCTGTGAGCTTGGATGGGGGAAAAATTACATCTTTATTTTCTTTACTCTCTGAGTGAAATTTAGCATTTCCTTCAATTATTTTAAAACAGTAGTCTGAGAAGGGGTCTATAGGCTTCACCAGACTGCCAAAGGGGTCCATGACACAGGAAAAGTTAAGAATCCCTACTGTAAGGCTGTGAGCCTATGAAAGAGCCTACTTTGCAAATCAACAAGCACCAGGAGGAAAGAAGGTTGAATTTAGAGCCAGAGACCTGGGTTGGAATCCTAGTTCTTATCATCTGCTTCCTGTGTGACCTCAAACAATTTATTTCACCACTCTAGGCCTCAGTTTTATCTGTAAAATGAGAGGGTTTCCTTAGATGACATATATATATATATATGTCTGTGTGTGTGTGTATATATATATATGTCTGTGTGTGTGTGTGTATATATATATATATGTCTGTGTATGTGTGTGCATATATATATATATGTCTGTGTGTATGTGTGTATATATATATATGTCTGTGTGTGTGTGTGTATATATATATATGTCTGTGTGTGTGTGTGTGTATATATATATATATGTCTGTGTGTGTGTGTATATATATATATGTCTGTGTGTGTGTGTGTGTATATATATATATGTCTGTGTGTGTGTGTGTGTATATATATATATATATGTATACACACACACACACACACACACACACACACACACACACACACAGAGGGAGAGAGAGAGAGAGAGAGCCTTCCAGGTCTAAACCCTATGATCTTTTCCTGCTTTTATTAAGCACCTACTGTGTCTTCACTGGGGCTGCCAAGACAAATAGTACTTGTCCTCAAGAAGCTTACATTCTATTTAGCCACTCTCATCAATCTCCATCACTAATATGCACTCTGTGCCCTGGCCAAGCTTGTTGCCTCACCCCCCTCAGGCCTTGTTTCAGCTCACTGTCCCTGCCTCCAACCCCTTTCTCCATGCTAAGTTCCCCTCACCCCAAACATGTTCTCTGACTTCCTAAGTCAAACACTAACAATCCTAATCATCCTTCTCTGAAATGTCTGAGGAAAGCAGGCAGGTTTTAGTTAGAAAGAGCAGTTGTCCCTGAGAAGAAATTGAAACTTAATTGTAGAAGTACTTGGGGTGAAAAAGGACTGGAGTTGGTCTTGCTACAGAAAGCCCTAACCCCTCTCCTGTTTGGAGGTTCCCAGTTCTACTGAACAAATGCTACTGTGACCTACCACAGTGGGCCACTAGTCAAGAGAAGAAATCAAAGATAAACTTCTGAGAGTTACCATGCCCACAAAGGCGTCCTTCCCAGCCTTTTGTGCAGATGCACTGAAAACTACCAATACCATCGATACAGGTCCCGTTATGGCAGGGATGGGGATCGCACTGGTCTCCATCTGGAAGATATTTAGAGGATGGGAGTTGGGAGAATAATGAGGTGGGGCAGATTGTTCATAAAACAACCAGTCTTTTCTTTATCCTCCCAGGTTTGGCCAATTTCCTAGTGCTTGATTTAATCCTGATAGGCTTGGCACATTTTGGAGAGAGAGAGAATACATACCCAAGTTCTTAAAGATGCCCCAGAGAGGGCCAGTTGTCAAGGCTTTTTGCAGATCTAAAACATGGTGTGAATGTGACTAAAGAATAAGTAGTTTTCCTTAAGGCTAGGAAAATGGGCTGGGCTGCTCTGGGACCAAGAATACTCTGTGTTCATTTGTAAGTCTGGTTTAATGGGCCAGATACAGTCACAGAATCAGATATTCTGAGGATAGGTCTCCAAAAGCTATGAAATCTACTTCTCATCTCCAAATAGAATAAGCCTAGTGGTGGTTTGTCCTAATTTTTCTTAAAAATCAGGCAAAGCTTGGAGGAACCCAGAAGAAATAAATGTGAAAGACTGTCTGTTGGCCTAGAATGGAATAGCAAAAGTCACAATAGAAAATTTGATACTCACCCACATACTTTGACCAGTAAGCTAACTGTGAAGGGAAGAAACACAAGTTTTAGTGGAGGGTTAGGGAATCAAGACAAATGCAGAAAATGTAGGTAAACCTGTCTGCCTTTCAGTCCTGGTTTCTTCCCAGAACAGCAATGTTTGCACATCTGCCTACAGGCCCAGACTAAGTCAGAAGTGGGGAAAATGCTGCTGTGTCAATAAGACAAGCATAGGGTGGCCAGTACTGTGTCACAGGGCAAATAAGTTCTCCTTGGCCTCAATTTTCCCGTTCTGAACATGGGGCTACCCAGACCCCAACCACAAATGTTAAGGAGACATTTGTGGCTTGTGCTACCTTCTGCTTAAATTCTAGATCCTACTCTCTAGGCTTTGTCCTAGGGACCACCATAAACTTACGACAAGGACAAATTAGAAGCAGCTTGGTTAGGACAGTGGCTAGTAGGCTAGGTCTAGAGTCAGGAAGAACTGAATTCAAATCCAGCCTTAGACACTAGCTTTGTGACTTTTGGCAAGTCGCTTCACCTCTATTTGCCTCTGTTTCCTCACCTATAAAATGGGAATAATAATAGCACCCACCTCCCAAAGTTGTTGCAAGAATTAAATGAGATGATATTTGTAAAGGGCTTAGTACAGGGTGTGACACATAGTAGGTGCTTAATAAATGCTTCTTCCCTTCCTACAGGGAAGTGCTTCAGATATCTATCCATTCTCTTCATCCTCCTTCCAAGATCCCAATCAACTCCCTTATTTCTGTTCCTTTCTGACCGGTCAGACTGTCCTTAAGACTCTCCCAAAACATTCCCTCCTGCATTTTCTCCAGAAAGCAGAGAAAGGAGAATCTTTGTTTGAGAACTTTCTCCTGGCCTAGGAGCTGAGCTACACGGTCTCTAGACATGGAAGTACTCTGCTGGTAAAGGATGGGAGGCATGTGGGGACCTCAGACTGACATTGATTGAATGGTCTTGGGGGAGCCACTTCCTTTGAATGTGAATGGGCCTCAGTCTTCTATCTCTGGAAATTGAGAAGTCCTAACTCCTCTACAGTAAAATAAAATGATATCTGAAACTGGACTGGGGCCCTTTGGAAGAAAAGAATCATCCAAATTGTAGTCTAGCTACCCAGGATAAATGACCCGGTTACTTGTCTACCAGGAGCAGTGGAGGGGAGAGAGATCCATTTCTTCCATTCTGGGTGTAGCCAGCAGGAGGGAATGGAAGATTGGGTATAAAGATCTCCCTCCTGCAGAAGTTTAAGAGAGAAACAGAGACAGAGACACAGATGGGGGAGAGAAGAAGGAGAGAAAGAGAGATAGAAAAGAGGGAGAGAAAGAGAGAGAGAGAGAGAGAGAGAGAGAGAGAGAGAGAGAAGAGAGAGAGAGAGAGAGAGAGAAAGGAGAGAGAGAGAAAGGAGAGAGCAAGAGGAAGAGAGGGGGAGAGAGAGCATCTCCAAGATTCTAAGTCAATCCTGTAAACATTAAGTGATTTCTATGTGTATGGTACTGTGCTTGGCCCTGGAGATATAAAAACAAAGCAAAAAAATATACATCAAGGAAAGTTCTTGCCCTCAGGGAGTTTATATTCTACTGGACATTCAGTATGTACTCAAATAAATAAGTCTAAAGTAATTTGAAGAAGAACATAAGTATAGAGTAATTTGAAGAAGAGAAGTAAATTAACATTTTAAGCACTTACTTTATGCTAGGCACTGTGCAAAGCACTTTACAACTATTACTTTATTTGATCCACACAACAACCCTGGGCAGTAGGTGCTATTATCATCATCCCCATTTTACAAATGAGGAAATGGAGGCATACAGAGGTAAGGTGACTTGCCCAGAGTCACATAGCTAGTAAATATCAGAGGAGGGATTTGAACTCAGGACTTCTTGACTCCAGGACAGGCATTCTATCTACTGCAGCACCCAGCTGCCTAGGAGAAGGAGAAGAGAAGGAGAAGGCATGAGAGCAGTAACAACTAGAGTAATCAGGAAAGGGTTTTGTGTAGGAAGTAGCATCTATTCTAGGTTCAGAATGACATCCACTCGTCATCTAACTTGGCTCCGAGCTTGATTCCTTCTCAGCCCAGACCCTCTTATAACGAATGGTCATCTGCTAAAGGATATGGCATATTCCAATCCCAACTTACTGTTTCTTCCCGAGTTGAAAAAATCTCCTGGACTTCCTCCAGGTCACACATCTCCTCATTGCATTCCCGCTCCAAGTTGCCAGGTTTAATCTCTTCCAGGAACGAATTAGCTCGCTTCTGAATCCTCAGGATTTGGTTGGCTTTCTTACTGCTAGAGAACACTGAAGAAAGCGGGAGGGGTGGGTGCAGAAGGGATAGCATGAGTAGGAGAAGAGGCTGGGTAATCCTATATTTGAATCCTGGCATTGAAGTCAGGGCTTCTACCACTCTGCAGTACTATAAGCATGAGGGTGGGTGGTGATACATGTCTAGGATCACCCAGAACTGGCATCAGCAAAACTGTGAAGTCTACAGAATTCCTTTGGTCTCCCTCCATACCCATTCCCAGCTTCCCTTTTCAGAATATTCTTGTCCTTCCTGTGATGGACACAAATCTGCCCTTTTGGCAACCAGTATCCCTTTTATTTCTTTCCTCTGCCCCAAAGTAGATATCAGAAGGAGAAAATGTCAGGCTAGTCTCCTCATTTCCCCTAAATTTTCCAGTATGTATATTTGATTTTCCTAATTAGATGGCAAACTCTATTCATGGCTGGGACTATAACAGCTTCAACATTTAACATTCACTTAAAATTTACTTAGCATCTTCTTTGTATAGAGCTGTGTATTAGGCATAGGGGAAGGACTAGAACTCAGACATCCAGCTTCCCAGTTCAGTGTTCTTTTCACTTCTAGTCAGTTAACTTCACATTTATCTATCACATATAAAGACAAAAATTAACCAGTCCTCGGCCCCAAGGAGCTCACAGTCTATGACAGAAGACCTAAGATTTAGAACTCTCCAAAAGTGGGTAGCTGGAAGCGGATTTGCTGCCTCAGCAAATAGTGGATTCCCCATCACTGGAGGTCTTCAACACAAGTTAGATGCTCACCTCTCAGGAATGGAGAGGGGATTCTTGTCCAGGTACAGGCTGGACCAGAATCCTGCTGAAGCCCTTCCTACTCTGACTCTGGGAATTGATTTGGAAACATAAAGCATGGTACAAATGCAAGGGACTATAATTATTATTCATCATTCTCATTCTCGTTCTCATCATCATACCCTGTCACTGTTCCAGGGAATTTGGGTTACTGCATAAGGTTACATCTGTATCTGTTTCTGGGATGAGAATCTGTTACCCCTTACCTGAGTTGGCTTGTCCACCGAGTGAATACCAGGAGGCCACAAACACCAAAAAGCTCACAAGTCGCCACATTTTGAAAGAACTGACACCTGGCAAAAATGAGTTACAAAAGCTCCCTTCTCTCCTCCACCCCCTTCCATTCCCAACCATCCTACCTAGAAAAGCCATTGAAGCACTGAGGTCACATCTCAAAGGGGCAAAACATCAGAATTATTAATTGGGTGGCAGAACTGTTCCTAAGTTATAGCATTGAGGTGATGGCACTTGGCCCATTCTTTGAAGGTCCCCAGTCTACTAGGCCATGACTCAGAACGACAGATCACTGGAGCAACTGAAACAAATCTTTTAACTCTTGCTTTCAACTCTTGCAAAAGACTGCTGATTCATATACCCCAACAATAACCAAGTTGAGTTGAGTGGGATTGCCCCCTCCAATTCTGTGCATACCCCTATAGTGGCATTTTCCCTTTTCTGACTTCTTTCCCCCCTTCAAGTCTGCTTTTGATATTCACTTTAACCTGATTTTACCTGATTTAAAACTGAAAGGAGGTAAAAGAGGAAGGTGAAGGAAGACCACATGGTGAGATTTGTACAGAGAGAGCTGTACCTTTTAGGGAAAGACCTACCCAAATCTCTCCCCACCTTGGCAACCCTCCCACCACCAACTATTCACCTACACAGGAATAGCTCTGCCAGAAAGCTGCAGGTCCTAGTTCTAAGTCTCAAGTTTCTTTGTGTCCTAGGGCTTCTTCTAGGCCTGCTCTACTTCTTAGGGAAAGGAATACTCCTAATAGAATCCATAACAAAGCAGAATGAGTGACATTTGGTTCCTTTGAATACCCATTATTATAGAAGTGTCAACTAACCACTTAGTCTAGTTCATTCTGGGAACCTTGTTTCATTTTCCGAGTGTGCCCCCTTCATTTCAAAAGTTGGATGCCTTCCTTGATCCAGGTGGGTTACCCAGCCTATGAAGATCCCCAGAATATTGAGCTTCGATCTCCAGCTACGCTTTTTTCTACGTTGCTCTCTCATCCTCTGGTGCTCTCCGTTTCCCGCCCTGTCTTTTATTCCCCTCACACTTTCCTTTCTATGTTTTGCATTTCATATATCTTACTTTAAAGAGTTAGAAATCATTTGGGGAGAACTTACAGATGTGGGCAGTGGAAGACTGGCGGTATCGTCTTCTTGTCGCCATGATAGCCTCAGCTGCCTGAGTTAATCCATAACCTCAAATATTTACTCATCACTGTTGCACTAAGGTTTTCCTCTCCACAGATAAACAAAAGGACACTGACATTACTGAACCCACACTAATTGGATTGGTCATTTTTAGGTATAGATTATACCTAGTATCTATCTATCTGTCTGTCTGTCCATCTGTCTGTCTGTCCTTGTGTCTATTTACCTATCTCTCTAGTACTTAGCAGAGTAGCATAGTGTTTTACATACATCTAGGTATTTTATAAATATCTGTTGAATTGAACAGAAGAGACTGGTTCAAATTCTAGCTTTACCACTAATTAGCCCTATGATCCTGGACAAATCACTTAATTTCTCCTGAGCATTAATTAATTAGTTAATCTCTCCTGAGTTGTATCTCTAAAATGGGCATACTTCATTGTCACCACTATTATTCAATATTGTACTAGAAAGGTTAACTATGGCAACAAGAGGAGAAAAAGAAATCAAAGGAATTAGAATAGGCAATGAGGAAAGAAAACTACCACTTTTGCAAATGAAATGATGGTATACTTAGAGAATCCTATAGAATTAACTAAAAAAACTAATTGAAATAATTAACAACTTGAGCAAAGTTGCAGGATATAAAATGGGTATACTCACCTCAGAAGGTTGTTGGGAGAAATGCACTTAGTAAACCTTGAAGTGCTGTAGAAATGTTCTTTATTGTGGAAGAAACTAGGTGGCACAATAGATAGAGCTCTGGGCTGAGAATCAGGAATTCAAATCCAGCCTCTAACACTTGCTATCTATCTGGGGCAAGTCACTTAACCTCCTCAACTTGGGGGACAGGAAGTGCAATTATACAGCACCTACTATGTGCTAGGCACTGTGCTAAATGGTTTATAGATATCTCACTTAATGCTTTGTAAATTTTAAAGCACTGTGTAAATGTGAGTTGTTCTGACATTCTTCTCATCTTTTTCTAAGGGCTTAGCACTTGGCACTTAGCACAGTGTCTGGCACGTGATACATGTGTAACAAATGTTTATTGATTGATCAATTGATTAGGTTCAGATAGAAACCACTCTGGAACCTGTCACTAACCTGCTGCTATTCCTTCATATTTAATCTCCTCTAGCCCTGCTGCACAGGTGAATAAAAATAACTGTTTTTCACAATTTAATAAAATTGTTATTGTTGTTGTTCAGTTGTTTTCAGTCATGTCCAACTCTTTACGACCCCATGTGGGGTTTTCTTGGCAAAAATACTGGAGTGGCCATTTCCTTCTTCAGCTCATTTTACAGAATAAAATTATTAGGATGGAAAATGTAAACTCATTAACAGTACCTTTCATACAATTCTGGTAGCAGGCAGGGCAACAGTGATGATATGTACTTCATTCTTTCCCATGTGATTTTGATCTCCTCAGTGAGGTATTCATACTTTGAAAGCTTTCCATTCAAATTGATTTGGAGGTTATGAGAATTTTGGGTTGTTCTTAAGTTTTTATAGATCAATGCTATGTCCAGGAAATTATGGCCAATGGTTCCATCTACGATAATGAATAGTCTGGTTCCTGTATAATTTACTGGTTAACTTCTCTAGTTCTCACCCTTCTTAGTCTCTATGCAGCCTCAGACCCCTGATCACCATCTCCTCCTGGACACTCCTTCTTCTCTAAGTAGTCATGATTTTATTCTTTCTTGGTTCTCTCCCTACCGTCTTCTGCTCCTTCTTGGTCTTCTTTGCTAGATCTTCATCCGTATCATTACCATTAACCATAGGTGTCCCCCAAGGCTCTGTACTGGGCTCTCTTCTCCCTCCATACTCTCACTTGGTGACCTCATCAGCTCCTGTGAGTTCATTCATCCTCTCTATGCAGATGGTTCCCAGATCTGTTTATTCAGCCCTAATCTCTTTCCTAAGTCCAGTCTTGTATCACCAACTGCCTTCTAAACATCTCAAATTGGATGTCCAATGGGCATTTAAATTCAATATGTCCAGAATAGAACTTGTTATTTTCCCCCCAATCCCCTCCCTCTTCCCAATTTTCCTATCACTACTATCCTCCCTTTTACTCAGGTTCACAACCACAAGGTCATCCTGAACTACTCATTTGAACTCTTCCCACACATCCAATCTCTTGTCAAATCTTATTATTTCTACCTTTACAACGTAAGTACACTCCTCCCTCCTACCCTGGTCCAGGCACTCACCAGTTCTCACTTGAACTATTGCAATAGTTCAATTGGTCTCCTTCACTCATCTCCACTTTTAGCCATCCTCTACTCAGTTATCAAAGTGAGTTCCTAAAGCACAGTACTGACCATATCACCATCCTGTCCCCATATGCCATCCCAACTTAGTAAACTACTGTAGCTCCATAAGATCAAATACAAATCCCCTGGCATTTAAAACCCTTTACAACCTGGGCTCTTCCTGCCTTTCCAATTTTGTATACTTTACTTCCCTCAGTACATTCTACAATACAGCTATACTGGCCCACTTCCTATTCCTTGCACATGACACTCCATTTCCCAATTTCATTCCTTTGGCACGTGCCTCAGGCCTGAAACGTCCTCATCTTCACCTCCACCTCTTAGCTTCTGTAGCTCCCTTCAAGACACATCTCAAATCTCCCCTTCTGCAAGAGACTTTTCATCCTTCCCTCCCACCAGTCCTCCTTTCCTCCATTTGTAGTGCCTTCCTTCTGGTAGTAGTGTCTTCCCTCTTTGACTACCTTCCCTCTACTCCGTATATATCTTTATGTACATCATAGCCATCTATATGCTGTCATCCCTATTGCTATGTGAGCTTCTTGAGGGCAAGAGCAGCATTTTTACCTTTCTTTGTATCCTTAGCACTGGCACAAGTGTCTAGCACAGAGTAAGGACTAAATAAATGTTTGTTGACTAATTGAACTGACTGACTGACCTGAGAATATTCTAAGATCAGTATTTGCAGTGCAAGGTTATGATCTGTTAGTCCATGAAAATTAGAGAGCTTCTGATATATAACTTTAGCCACCAGATTATGCCTTACTAGCTATTCATATTATTATTATTATATTATATTATTATAGGGGTATATGGAATGTTCGGGAGAACTCATACCTCTAGTTGAGGGCTTGCCAAGCCTTTTGAGGGCTGCACATCCATCTTTGGTGTCTACCTTCACTCAGCTCTCATCTGTGGCTCCAAGAAGCTGTAGCACACATAGTGGCCACACCCAGGTAAACTATCTCTGCAGATGGGGAAACCAGTTTGAAAGTAACTGACAGGCCTCAAAGCCATCGTGAGTTAGAGGAATGTCTACTCCAAGCATGTGAAGACTTTTCCCAATAGAATGGGTAGATGAGAACAATTTGTTCCAGCAGCCCTGAAGGTGGCTAAGTCGGGTCCTGGCAAGTGCTTAGAGTTTGGTCAGACAGCAAAGACACACCAAGGTCATCCATTGCATCCCGAGCCATCACCAGTCCTCTTGACTTTTGTCCTGCCAATGGACTTTGATGACTCTAGGAGTGTGAGGCTGATGACTGTGTAACTTTGCCTCACTTACATCCAATTCATGCACACGTTAAGACATAATCTGTGATGTTATTGGTCCTCTTCGAAAATGAAGGACACACATTTACTAAACTGAGGGACTCTGCAGTCCTTCAAGTCAAGAATAAATCTGACTTAGGGTACAGAATTGAATTATCCTGTGAAAGAAGGAAATTTTCAGTATGTATGCTTTACCTGTACTACCCACTATTACAATTTTGATAAACATTGGTTTGATTTTAATATTCTGGATAAAGGCATTTTTATCACAATTTGTAACATTTGTAAGTATTGTAATATTTGAAACCACATCAAGTTTAAAAAGAACATTTTAAACTTCTTTTAAAAATGAAGGACAAACAACAACAACTTTTTAAAGTCTTCTTCCAACAACTAAACTAGGTCTATATTTCTCTTTTATTCAACTTGTACTGAATTTGAGCTGTTCTTCCTACTTCTTAGTCACCCAGGTACCCGTCCCCTCTCTACCACCCCAAATCCCTGTAGAACACTGAACAGGCCATATTATTACACTTATTATTGCACCCTGACTGCCTACCCCCTTGTTTCCAAAGCCTGGTGTCTATTGCCTCCTCTGTCCAGTGACATAGCACCACATTTCTGACATTTACCCAAGGAACAAATCAACAGACAAGTGAAATTTGTATGAGAAGGCTATAAATTCTACCTCTTGAAGAGAAAGGAAGCAAAATAATTCACAGACACTGGATTTGTTCACATGGTCTATATTGGGAAAGATTATGGTGGCCCAATGAATACCCTGCCACCACCCAGTTTGACATATGAAAAAATGCTCTAAATCACTAATAACTAGAGAAATGCAAATTAAAACAACTCTGAGGTACCACCCCACACCCATTAGATTGTCTAAGGTCACAAAAAAAAAAAGAAAATGACAAATGCTGAAGGGGATATGGGAAAATAGGTACACTAACACACTATTTGTTGAGCTGTGAACCAGTACAATCATTCTAGGGAAAGCAATACAGAACTACGTTCAAAATGTTATTAAACTGTATATATCCTTTGATCCAGTGATCCCACTATTATTGTCCAGACTACTATAATGTGAACTCTAGTCCATTTGGAGGGTGTATTAGTACATATATTTATGACAGACACTGCAAATTAATGATGAACAATACCTTAAAGAGACCAAAGAAAAAGTAAAAGGGACTCTATGTATAAAAAAATATTTACGGCAGCTCTTTTTGTGGTAGCAAAGAACTAGAAGAAAAGAAGGTTTCCATTGATTAGTGACTGGCTAAATAAATTGTGTTACACAAATGCAATGGAATGTACTGTAAAAAGAGATGAATATGAACAATTCAGAGAAACATGGGAAGATATATGAATTGATGCAGAATGCAATAAGTAGAGCCAAAAAAACAGCATTAACAAGAATGTAAATGGAAAGAACCAAAATACAAACCTAAACACTGTGCAATTATAATGGCCAAGCTTGATCCCAGAGAAAAATTGAGGAAATGAATTCTCTCACTTCTCTGCAAAGGTGGGA